CACACACACACACACACACACACACACACACACACACACACACACACACACACGAACACAGGCAGCCTCAAATAGTCCACACAACAATAAAAGACTCACTCCGGCTCTGACGCGCCGACGCTCTCATTGTCTCCTCTCCTATCCCCTCGCAGTCGCGACACAGCTTTATTACCGGCATAACGGAACTGAGACAAATAGTCAGAGTAGCTGAATTTCGTCATTACTGAAGGTAGATTTCGCTTTTTTCCTTCCCAGGTCGTCGGCGTCGGCGGAGCAGCGCGCAGAGCCGAGCGAGGCTCAGCTGTGGTCTCTCAGATTATTTTGGGACTGTATTGTCAGGCGGCAGGATGACGGACTTATCCATATATGTCAGAAGACTCGGACGTTTAAAGATAAGAGAAACAGCCCTGGAGATAATGCAGTGTAAGGCCAGCTCTTTTCGTCTTTACTGGCTGGTTTCCAAGTTAGATAACGAGACTGATATGTGACAACTGCAGAAGATAAACAGAGACCCCCACAACGAACCATTAATCACTACTCCATTTTGAAAAGCCTGTGCACATTGACTGTATTATAAGCGATAGGCGGTGGCCTAATGTCACTAAAAAAAAGGGAAGCAATACATAAATAAAAAAATAAATTTTTTTTTTTGATAAACAGACTCCAAACGTCAACACATATATCTGTTGAATGTAACTCTCCACCACCCTAAATTCCCAGAAAAATACCGAGGATGTGACCTCTGCGTCCTTCGTGGCAGCTAGAGGCGTGGCCTGCGTAATAGCTTCACTCCAGCGACGAAGACACTGTTATAGCTCAGGTAGCTTGTTTATCAGATAATACCAGTGTATTAAATGATGCCAAAGATCATATTTTCCTTCTTATGTCTTCGAGATTTTTACAATTTAAGTCCTGTTGGGGGCACCGATGAACCAAGTGTCTTTAAGTGGTGTTTTTGCTCAACCATGTGAAGATGGGTGACAGATTAGAGGAAAAAATAGAACTCTTGACCGTATAATGAGGGGGTCCAGTGGCCCTGTTATGTTGTGGGATGGACGCATTTTGTGGGCGCTGTTTGGGTTCACATGTCCTCTTGGAGGGAAGGGTGACTGCAAATGAATTCAAAATGAGTTCTGAGTAAACATCTTTATCCGCTTATGAGGGTGCCCTCTGGGTATCACGAGCTCTCAGCCTAAATATACACTTATGGGAGATTTTAGATAAAGTCTTTGAGGGAACATCTTTAGTCAGAAGAGAACAAATGCTAAACACAGTGGCGGTGTATTGGTGTCAGATGTTGACACACACACACACACACACACACACACACACACACACACACACACACACACACAGCAATGTTATGCCTAACTATGAAAATGAAGCTATGAATCTATGTAAATCTAAATCAGTTTGCATACATTTCCATAACGGAATGCTGAATGTTGGATATAAAACTGTGTTACTAATTCCGTTTTTATTGCCGTTTTTTTATCACTAGATTTTTAAAATCTTTTTTATATCACTTCAAACATGAGAAAATATATTGCAAAGAGCCAGGAAAAAAACCACCCAAACCAAAAAGGAAACAAGCAAAATTTCTTTTGCCATTTAATAATTAAATATCCAAATCAACCACAGAGACTACATATTTACTTAACTCTTACTGATCTGCATGTCCAGTCAATAAAATGCAGTAAAATAAAGATGCAAATGTATATTTTGGACATTTTCATCTGATTTGTTTTTCAGCCTCATACTTTGTCAGCCAACCATATGAAACAATGTGTAACAAAGCTTTCATCTATGATTCTACAGGCACCACATATTGATTAGTGCCTTTGTTTATGGCCTCAGTGCAGCACAGAACTCATTTGCTTATTTTGACTCACATGTTTGAGCATGTGGTTTGTGAGTGTCGTCTAACCACTAAATCTCATTTAACAGGTTTCAGTTTCTCCACAAGAGCGAAAGGTTTTGTCACTGAACTTGAGAGACTCTCAAGGAAGCAAATCTCGGTGTACTGAATATTTGTGTTTTAACAAGTTGCTTCCCCATACAGTAAAAACAGTCTTGTAGGGACAGAAAGACTTCCTTAACGCCACCTGTGAGCACTACACATTAATGCTATTGGTGCTGTTTTATTTGTGTCTTTAAGGTTTAGACATCCTAACATTTGCATCACATGTATGGTAAAATAACTATAAAACGTGATGATTTCACCTCCACCTACTACTCAAATACATCCTTTTAATTAATATTGTTTTCATTGAGCCTCCACAAAATAGCCCATTGAGGCTCTTCACCATCAGAAAACTTGTAGTAACTCTGCTTTTTTAACAAGCAACACTAAGGCAGTCAGCACAGACCGGCGCTTTTCTTTTCATGTCTCTTGTTTTCATCTTGACGGCTATTTAGATATACTGATAGGTCACGGGGGCATTTCACGCCGTGCCATGCTCAAAAATGTCATGAATAACTATCTCTAATGTTTCACTGAAAAACAATTAGGAATAGCATTTGCGGTATTTGGTGACAAGATAATGTTAAATTGTTAAGCGTTAAGAAGTGATAGCATCTTTTCTTACCTGAGCAGGTTTGTTGTGGTGTTTTGTGAAGTGTGGAAAGTCAGGGAGCATCCAGCCAGCCTGTCTTTGATGTCGCTGTTTAGTCTCTGGTAAAGAGACCCAGCTTTTTGGACTGCAATCATCACAGGAGGAGATTTGTTGTCCAGTCTTAAGTGCAGAACACCTCAAAAAGTGCTGTTGTCTTTTTCATAGATGAGTAAACACTATTCACAATAGAAGTTGGAAAATAGAAGTTAGAACATCAACAGCAGCAATAAAATCACAGGGACAGTATAATACACACATCCCACGTGAATTAGTGACCTAACTCATATAAAAGAGCTGAAATCTGCAAAGGCAGAAATCAGAGAGCAGCGGCTCAGGCAGTGAGGGGGGATGCCTTTTAAGGACATGTTCAGCAGTGTTATGTTCCACTTGGTACTGCTGTTCCAGAGAAGGTGCTGGTGTGTGTAGTGTTGTTACTGAGTTATGCAACAGGAGGATAACAAAAAAACATGAAGCTGAGATTACAGGGCATGATTAACTTTACAAAACAATGACAGAGACAATTAGAATTAAATTAGATAGAAAAAATCCCCCCAAAAAACAGCTTGATAGACTCACCACATGAAATTGTTCTTTCTCCTTATGCACAAAATATGAGTTACTTTGTAGAACAAATATGTTAATCCTAATCAGACGGTCTGAAGGATTCTGTCATAACATGCGTCACCTCTTGCTGCGACTGTGTGATGTGCAAAAATGAGTCTGAAGAACAAGCAGAATGACAACAGATTGTTTCACAATTACTTCTTCCGAAATGTTTTTTAAAAGTGCTTCCTCTATTGAAACTGGAAGTGGCCTCATAGTTTTATGACGACGAACGAGTCCTTCGACATATTTATTTTCAACCACACAAACGGGCTCTATTGCAAATTCCTGGGTAATCTGCGATCTTTCCCCAACAAAGTCAAACCAAAACATATGAAAACACATGTATGTCTCAAACACCTGCAAAAAAAGCACCGTCCTGTCACGACATACTAACATGTCAGGACAGGAAACAAACAGGCATATTCAGTACCAGTAAATCAGTGACTCTGACAGTTTCTTCAAGCTTTTATGATAACATTCATGAGGTTTTCTTTCCCTGTGATATACCAGTGCATTTGCTCTTTTAAAAAAATTCATTATTAATTATTATTTTTAACCAACATCCATATAGGACATGGACATAGAACAAGTAAAACAAGACAAGTTGAAACAGACAGGATAAAAGAGGGATAGCAATAAAAAGTAAACCCAAAATCAACCTGATTTATATGTGTGTACACACAAATGCACACAAGTCCACCTGAATAAAGACACATGTCTGCACACATACCTACACACACACATATACAGATACACACACATATTCAAGGGAGGAAGAAAAACAAAAACAGGAAAAAAACATACATGCATGCACAGCTATACATGTACATAGTGACATATGTAGATGCACTTAAGTACTGATGGACATTTTGATTTCAATTTTACAAAACAGATAGAGCAGTTCTGATGGCGGGATTCTTAGGAGGGAGAGAGAAAGTGGGAGAAAGACGGAAAAGAGACAAAAAAACAGCACATAGAAGTATGTAGGATGTATGTAGAGCCTATTGTGACTTCCCTAGATTGTAATGTTGAGTATTTTCCTTGGGCTGTAGTCTGTCAGCCCTGAATTTCTCCCAAACCTTATCGGAGGAGGCCAGACCAGAGCATGGCTGCCAGGCAAAAACAGCCCCCCCACCCCCCCCAAATTATATGGCAGTCAATGGTAATCTAGGTTTACATTGCTAGTTGTTGGCTGTAGCTATTATGGAGCTTCCTTGCAGAGTTGTCAGGGACTTTTCAGCTGTAACTACAATTATAACAGTGATTGGGGTGGTTTGTTTATAATTATTAGTGGCTCTGCTCCAGTTCCAGATTTTTATCGGAGTGAACTCATTTTCGTGTCAAACCACTATTACCATTCAGTTGGTGCCCTTGTGTGTAACCTGTAGAAGATGAAGGCCTAACAAGAAGTGTGTAGGTCCTCTTGTGAGTGTGTGAGAAGTAATTCAATTCAATTTTATTTATATAGCGTCAAATCACAACAAAAGTCGCCTCAAGGTGCTTCATAGATACAGAGACAACCCCAACAATCATATGACCCCCTATGAGCAAGTACTTTGGCAACAGTGGGAAGGAAAAACTCCCTTTTAACAGGAAGAAACCTCCGGCAGAACCAGGCTCAGGGAAGGGCGGGGCCATCTGCTGCGACCGGTTGGGGTGAGAGAAGGAAGACAGGATACAGACATGCTGTGGAAGAGAGACAGAGAATAATAACAGGTATGATTCAATGCAGAGAGGTCTGTTAATACATAGTGAGTGAGAAAGGTGACTGGAAAGGAAAAACTCAATGCATCATGGGAATCCCCCGGCAGCCTACGTCTATTGCAGCATAACTAAGGGAGGATTCAGGGTCACCTGGTCCAGCCCTAACTATATGCTTTGGTTAGGGCTGGACCAGGTGGACCAATGTTAGTTAAGTAACATTTCCAAGATATAGGCTGAGCCCCTCGGAAGCAAACAGGGATCTGAACAGGGAGTTTTCGTGAAACGGCTTTTCAACTGATGTCCACGCTGTTCGTTTGTTAACAAAAGAAAAGTCTATTTATGGTACATCTCACATTAATCAGCCACGTGTCATTGGAAAAACGTAGACTGATATCAGTGATGTTGTGTATCACTGCATTCAAAGACTATGTGTAGATAGATATCTAAGCTTCAAACGCCTGCAAAGAACAAGAAACAACCAACGTCCTGTAAAAACAAGTCAGGACAGGAACAACACAGATGTGTTCAGTACCAGGGAATCTGTACCTCTGACAGTTTCCACAAAGCTGAACATTACAGTTACTCTTATGTTGTAACTATCATGTTGTAACAGGGAGTCCCGGAGTGTTTTTTGTATATTTAAAAGTGCCTTTGTTCTAGAGCATGACAGGAGTCACAGAAGTGGCACAAAGTTGAGAACAACAGAGGTTTAGCGGTGCAACAGGATGGATGCCAAGGAGATTCGCCCTGGACTCATCTGTGGAACTGGTGTCGGATGTAGTGGAGGAGTTGGGCCCAGTAAGAAGGCCTTTCCAAGCAAGCAAGACATAACTGGTGAAAACAGTGATTTCTGTAAGGGTTAGAGCAGCTGTTCAAGACTGTTGGACCTGTAAATACAATGTAAAAGTCAGACTTCTAGCTTGGTTTTAGCTTATTTTTTATATGCCCTGGGCTTGTTTTATTATAAATAAATGTTACGTTCTACTCTTGAGTTTTGGACTCCTTGACTACCACTGCCCTTTTATTTTTCAGCTGCTCTCCATCTTATGGAAAAGGTTCTTCCTCTTGCTTCTCCTTTTCCCTTGTTACAACAAACTACAACTTTGAATTCTTATCAATTTTAAATATTTTTTAAAAGCAGTAGGTTAATAACAACACACACTCAGAAATGTTACGGCTGAAATGAAATTGAATTACATGTAAACTTTA